CGATTACCGCCGCCTGGCCGACTCGCCCCTCGTGTTCCGCCGCTCGCCCACAAAGTCCCCCCTGGACTACCACCGCCGGCCCCCCGAAGCCCACCCCGACTACCCCCGCTACTCGGGGGGCTACGGCGACTACCTCCCGCCCGCCCGACTCCACTCGGGCTACCAGCGCCGCCTCTGAGCTAGCCACCGGCCCTCCGAGGGGGGTGGGAGGCCATGGTGGCTACCTACAACCCCCCCTGGGCTACCAGTGCTGGGAGGGAGCTGTGGTGACCACCTACAACCCCCCCTGGGCTACCAGCACCTGACACAGACGCTCCACTGGTTGGGAGGCCATGGTGGCTACCTACAACCCCCCCTGGGCTACCAATGCCGCCTCTGAGCTGGCCACAGGCACTCAGGGGGGGTTAGGAGGCCATGGTGGCTACCTACCACCCCCCCTGGGCTACCAACGCCGCCTCTGAGCTGGCCACAGGCACTCGGGGGGGGTGGGAGGTTATGGTGGCTACCTACAACCCCCCCTGGGCTACCATCTCCGCCTCTGAGCTAGCCACCGCCGCCGATGGCGCTCCCAGGGGGGTGGGAGGCCATGGTGGCTACCTACCACCCCCCCTGGGCTACCAGCGCTGGGAGGGAGCTGTGGTGACCACCTACCATCCCCCTGGGCTACTGGCCTCCCTGGGCTACCAACACCACCTCTGAGCTGGCCACCAAGACTGGGGAGGGGACTGTGGTGGCCACCTGCCCCCCCATTGGGCTACCATCGCCACCTCTGAGGTAGCCACCAGCTTAGGAGGGGCTACAGGGACTACTTGCCCCCTGGGCTACCAACACCACCTCTGAGGTAGCCACAGGCACTCAGGGGGGGTTGGGAGGCCACGGTGGCTACCTACCACCCCCCCTGGGCTACCAGCCCCCCTGGGCTACCATCTCCCCCTCTGAGGTAGCCACCAGCTTGGGGGGGGCTACAGTGGCCACCTACCCCCCCGTTGGGCTACCAATGCCACCCCTGAGGTAGCCCCCACCCCGGGGGGGGCGGCCACTTGCCCATTTGGCCACCAACCCCCCCCCCCCCCCCCCCCCCCCAAACTTCCCTCTTAATTTATTTGCTGAGGCATTCTCAGGGTTGGCACCTGCTGGCACTCAGAAGCCCACAGGAACAATTCCTCTGTCATGCTTTCCAGTGAGAGCATTTTAAAGGTCAGATGGAACCTGCTGTTCCAGGTTTCTTCTTAGAGGTAGAGACACAGGATAAGGAGATGGGGAATGCACAAATAAAATGCACATCTTAAAGAAGTCCAGAAATTACAGGGGCTTTCTTTTTCCTCCTTCAAAGGGATGTGGGTCGCCAAGTGGTCTTGCG